AAGCAATTATGAGCATGTTTAAAGAAAAAGAACAAAACAAAGATTTGCAAAGAGACAGAAAGTCTTAGAAGAGAAATAGGATATATAAAGGAGAACCAAATGGAAATTTAGAGCCAAAAAATTCAATAACCAAAATTAAAATCTTAATGGATGGATGGGCTCAACATAAGAATGGAGAGGACAGTTGAAAGAAGCAGTGAACTTGAAGATAGAAGAGTAGAAATTACACAGTCTGAACAACAAGAGAAAATAGATTTTTGGAAAAATTAACAAAATCTTGAGGACTTGTGGGGCTACAACAAAAAAGTCTAATAGTCATGTTTTCAGAGTCCTGGACAGAGGAAGAAGAGAACAGGACTGAAAAAGTATTTGAAGAAATAATAACTGAAAATTTCCCAAATTTGGCAAAGCCAACCAACCAACTGAAAAACCCGTAAGCAATTGCCAGAAACGGACTGAACTCCAGACAGGATAAACTTAAAGAAATCCATGTCAAGGCACATCATAATCAAACTTTTGAAAACTGAAGACATGGGAAAATTTTTGAAAGCACTCAGAGAGAAATGAAATATTACTATAGAGAGAAAGCACTTGGAATAATAGCAGATTTCTCATCAGAAGTCAAAGAGGCCAGAAGAAAATGGCACAACATTTTTGAAGTTGTGAAAGAGAAGAACTGTCAAACCAGAATTCTCTATCCAGAGACAATGTCTTTCGGAAGTGAGGGATCAATCAAGACATTCTCAGATGTGGGGCGCCTGGGTGGCTCTGTCGTTGGGCGGCTGCCTTCGGCTCAGGTCGGAATCCCAGAGTTCTTTTGAGCTCTACACTGGACTCACTGCTCAGTGGGGAGCCCACTTCTCCCTCTCACCCTGCCCCTCCCCCTGCTCATGCTCTCTCTCTCTCAAATAGATAAATAAAATCTTAAAAAAAAAAAGACATTCTCAGATGAAGGAAAACTAAGAGAATATGACATAAAATTCACAAATTAGACATACCCTAAAAGAGTGGCTAAAGGAAGTTCTCTTAAACAGAAGGAACATTAGGAAGGAAGAAAGAACACAGAAAAAGCAAAAATATAGCTAAATACAAGAGACTTTTCTTATCTTGAGTTTTCCGTTTGGCCACTGAAACAAAAATTATAACACTGTCTAATGTGGTTCTCAATGTATATAGAGTAAATATGTAAGACAATTATAAATGTGGGATGGTAAAGGAACATAAATGGAGAAAAGGTAAAATGTCAACACCAACAGATTTGATTATAGCAGTGGTTACACAAATCTACACATGTGATAAAATGACACAGAATTATACACACACATTGTACTAATGTCAAATTTCTGGCTTTGTTACTGTACTATGCTTATGTAAGAGGTAACCATTCGGGGAAACTCGATTTTACATTAAGCCATATTGAATTACTTTTTTGTATCAGCCTTTTCAGATCTTCTGGAATCTTTGTTTTGTCATTAAGCTTGTCATCTATTAATCACTCCCCATTTTGTATTAACTACAAATTTGATTAGCATGTCCAATATGCTCCTTTATGTTAAGTGATTCATGAAAATGTTTAACAGGATCGGGCCATAGAGGCCTCTGACAAACTACTAGAAACTTCTATCTCACTTTAGTATAAACTGTTTGAACTTCCAATGAACTATACTATCTCCAACGCTCCTTGCCCCTGAAGATTTGTGAAATACCTTGAAAAATTAAGGATATAGGGCGCCTGGGTGGCTCAGTTGGTTCGGCGACTGCCTTCGGCTCAGGTCATGATCCTGGAGTCCTGGGATCGAGTCCCACATCGGGCTTCCAGCTCAGCAGGGAGTCTGCTTCTCCCTCTGACCCTCTTCCCTCTCGTGCTCTCTATCTCTCATTCTCTCTCTCTCTCTCTCAAATAAATAAATAAAATCTTAAAAAAAAGAAAAATTAAGGATATAGAGGGTCCCTACCATTTTCTTGCTCCATCACAGTAGTGAGAGTAGTGATGAATAATAATGGCTACTACTTACTGAGTGATGAGACCAAAACCTTTTCATATAGAATTTTTAAGCTAGGCCTCTCAAAAAGTTTCTGACATAGGTACTATTATTTTATTTTTTGATGTGACAGAAGAATTCACGTGACTATGGTTCGGTTTTAGCTAACCACACATTCATTTTCTAAATATTGGCGTTTTACTGAAAGCAGAAGTATACCTGCAGAAGCTGTGGAGAGTGTGTTTGTTTGTTTGTTTTGAGGGAGTTAGAAGTGAAGGAGATGATGTAGATTCCCAAGGGAAAGAATTTTAAGGAAAGAGTCAGATTAGATAAGGAGATTTTTAAAAAGTTTTGTTGTGTCATGTATAACATAATCCCTATTATTTATCAATGCCTTCAAAGTTTGAATCGTTGTTGTCGTTTTGTAATAAGACCACATGTGTGAGATTGGTCTCAAGTAAGTCCCTGGGTGAGAGCAGAGCTAGCCCAAAGAAGCTCCATCACATTGGGTTACAAGTCAGGCTCTGAGAATTTGAGTGTCCAAGTCTCCCTTTTGTTTTTTGTTTTGTTTTTTTTTG